AGATAGATAGATAGATAGATAGATAGATAGATAGATAGATAGATAGATGTCTTTTTCCCAATGTGCATGCTTTAATATGCCCAGGCCAAATTGTTTCAGCTTTTATACAGTGTAACATTCAGTCATTTGCTCAGTTGTTGCTAAAAGTAGTGTAACAGCATTTGTGAAGGAACAGAGAACGTGAAAAGGAYGTTGCACGTGTGTTGCTTTAAATTCACAGAGCAACGCTGTTGTGAAACCAAGCTCTCACTGAGATCCCAAACCCCTCCCTCCCTCCAGCAGCGCCTTCCTGCTCCGCTCTGATCTTTCTGCATTCCGTCCCGGAGATGATACTCGTGTCTTCGCTACACTCGACCCCTTGGGAGAGACGAGGCTGTCAGGAGTCATGCAGACTTGTGCCAGTAGTTTGATATGCTAATCCATCCTCGCTGAGATGTCAGCTGGCCTGCTGTTCGCGGAGCAGAGAGAGGCGAGGCGAAATACACGAACAGGCGACTACTGTACCGCTGCACAGGCACACCGAACTGTAGCTGGGTGCACGCAGACGGGGACACATGCGCAACCTTACGCTGAAGGTTGTGGAAGCAGAAAAATGAACAAGGCTGCGTAGAGTGGGTGCTCCATACAAACCCACACACATGCTGCAAGACTGGCAGAAAACGTAGGTTTAGTTTGAACACAGCATTTATTGCTCGCAAATAGAACTAAGGACAACATTTCTGTTGGTGTAGATTAAACATTTGCTGTAAAATGAGGTACAAGATTTAGAAAGCCAAATACCTAATTTACTGTCAAAAGGAGAAAAAAAATGATTCAGATGCTTTTATGAAGGCCGATGCCAATCCCTGAGAAAACTGCTCACTGCCATTACTCACATTCATGTCAATGACAGCAAGTTCTTACAGTCCCCATACAGCCCCGATATATCCCCCGATATATCAGAGAACTTAGTCAGTAAAAACTAAAATACAACATTGGAAACAACTCTTGACTACATTTTCTGAATGAATATCAGTAATAATGGCTGCTATAAAAATGAGTGGTGTGTGCAAAGTGTAATCATAAAAACTGAGATAGATATTCATTGCAGAGTACATATGAAAAGGACTGCTTATTTTTTTCATCAAACATCAGTGTTTGCTGCCTGTTCTGACTTTTTTATTCATTCATTCATGAAAGGTTGACTTCTCCACCTCATCATTCAGCGTTTAACTGAAATATATTGTAAGACAGCATTAATGAGATTTATTTTTAAACTAAGGACACTGGTTTGTTGACTCACATTTACAGCGTAGCCTCACCAAGCATAGCTCTTAATAACTTACATAACGATTGGAGGCTTTATGTTAGCTTAAGCTAACAATAGGGGTGCTGATTGACATGAAACTCTGCTGAAGCACGGAGCAGATTTTTCCCTCTGTCATACAGCAGCTACTGAAGCTTAGCTGGGAAAAGTTAAAACGCAGGCTAAGGATGAATGYTATGAGGAATAAAAATCCAAATACTTAATAAAAACTCATATTTTCTGCTTAAAAAGTAATGTCCAAGGTCAAGAAACAAAAACCTGTGTATGCACAGGTGTACGGTGAATGCAAAAGACTTTGGATAAAAATAAATAAATTTCTTTTAATGACTATACCTACCAACACTCCTCAGGCTTCTATGTTCACACTGCGTATTAGCATCAACAACAAAATGTAAAGGATCCTTACACTTGTAAGAGTCATAATTACAATACATTGTTATTTAATATCATTTCCAAATTGGTCTGTCACTGGTGGATATTGAATAAGAACGCTTTATGATTTATTGAATAAATTGAATTGTTTTTTTTTTTAAAGCCAATTTTGCTGTTTGAACAACCTGTTGTACCTTTGTCCAAAGCACAACGTGAATGAACCCAAGACAAAAACTAACATTGATAAGTTTCAAATAACTTCACAGTAAAAACACAAAGTTGCTAAATTCACCCTCCTGCTGTCTTTGGGTCAAATGACCTACAACGCCAAAGTGATGACTTCTGGCTCATTTTGATCCAAGGGCAGCAGGAAAGTTCAGCTAAGTAAACAACACAAACATTCATATTAAGTAAATAAAAGATCAGGTTGTTCCACAAAATTTTAATAAATTGTTTCTCAAAATTTGATGAGCTGCAATGATCCTTATGTCACAGRGAAACAGCAAACTCGAGCTTATGCATTGCACTACAGCTAATGTTATAGATCACACATCATCAAAGTCATTATGTAATAAAACCAAAGATCTGTTACCTTTGAAACAGTTTATTTTGCTGCAGTTAATCATGAATACAACATACAGAACCCTATGTAATATAAGTAGTGATAATACAAAAATAAAAATAACACATTATGCCTCTTATTTACCACAAATAATATTTTGACATCTCTGGCTTGCCAACTTTTTTAACCAATTTTATTTTCACTTACATAGTTTTATCTTCAACTGCTTGTAGTTTTAAATGTTTTGGGTGTTCATAGAAATGGTTTTTTACCAGCTTCTGGCCAAGATTCTGACGTTTCCGTAGACACCAAACATGTCTATGTTTACTGTAACTAAAAGAACTTAGAGTAATTAAAGTAGAAAACTGGGGGTTTGGGCTTAAGAGATGAATGAACCAAGTGGCGGGCCGAACTTCGGTCACATGCGGGCTGGATGTGGCCCACGGGCCACCAGTTGAATAGCCCTGCTCTAAGGTTTTTTTTCTTCTTTTGTTAAAGATCTAGAACAGGTGTCATAAATGACTACAGAATCTCTAATAATGCTGTAATTGTTATTATTGCTGAACAGAACCTGAACTATTTCTTCTTGATACACAAACTTTTTGTGATGAAAGAGGGACGAGCGAACGCTTGAGAACCCAAAAGTAGACTAATTATTTTGGAACACAACATAAGAGTTAATGACAGCGCGATGAACTGACAACTAGACATAAAATAGAGCATTGATACATAAAGAGGTAACTGAATATCAGGAACAGATGTGTTGATTAGAYAGACAGAACAGAGATCTAAGCAAATAAAACAGCAAGTAAACAACAACTAGAACCTGTGACACAAACGTTTACATTTTAACAATCAAGATGTATTTGAGCAGTACGCACACACATGTCCACACATTCGTTTCAGCAGAATCCATGTCTTCGCTCRTACCGCAGAGCAGATTAGTCAGGCTGAGTGGCAGACTGCAGAGCGTTCTCACCCTTTATGCTGCTCCATGCTGGTGATGCTCACCATGTGCATGGAAATCTGTATTTATGTGACTATTTTCTATGCGGCATTTTGAATTTTGTTTGATCGGCGTTCCAGTTTCGAGACGCTTCGGATGAGCATCGGAAGTATTCCTCTAAAAGTGCTGAAATATTAAAAACCGTTTGATCGGCCGTCCTAGTCAAAAGGAGAAAACACTTGACTTTGTGCTTCATGTAAATGAAGAAGTGCGCTCGAGACCATGGACTGAGGCTGTTTTTTTTGTGCACCCCATTACTCTCACTGAGCAGCTTGCATACATCAGATGTATTCAGTGAAGCCTTCCGTGTTTGCTGTTTGAATGATAATCTATTTATGAGGCCCCTTAAATTCCCTAAAGGCTCCTGAAGTCACAAACACACCTCAAGTGATGGATAAAAAAATTAAAAAAAAACTCTGGAAAACATCCCCTGGCTTTGACTTA